ATTTTCTTTTTAAACACTTTTAAATAGTGCAATGCACGCTATTTTGAACCTAAAAACAATTATTTTCAATTTATACATGTACATTGATCATCTCTCAAAGTCTAACTGTTGAGTATAATTTGTACTTAAAAAAAAATACACCTACTTTTGAGTATAATTTAAGACTTATTTTTACTTTTTGCCGTTATATATAGCTAATATTTTTCATTAAATTATTGTACCAATATCTCTTTTCTAAACTATAAATCATCAAATTTTCAAGATTAGAACTTTCTTTTGATTTTTAATTTGAATTTTTCAAAGCCTATAAGTCGCCAAAACTCTTCAAAATCTCTTTTTTTAAAATAATTTTTTAATTTTATAAAAAAATCTTTATTTTTTTATTTAAGGTAAATAATAAAGACTTCAATATCTCGTAGATTTAGAAAGTAGGTCATTTAAAAAATAAAATAAAAATAAACCATTTAAATCTATCAATGTGAAAAATAATAATTAACTTTTTAATATTTCATTCTCTTTCTTCTAAACTAATATAAAACTTTTTAATAATACTTCTATTTAAAAAAAGTATTATTAAATTATAAATTTAATCTATAAGCTTTAAGAGGGGTATCTAATAAGTTCTCAAACTTTAAAAAAAAATGTTTAATAGGTYCTCGTACTTTCAATTTTAAATTTTTTAATATATCATTGACCTATTGGACTAATTTTTTAAGGTTCAAGAGAAATCAAAACAAAATTGAAAGTTTAGAGACCTATTTGACTTCTTTCAAGTATATGAACAAATTAAACACAAATTGAAAGTTAAAGGACAGATTTGTAATATATGCAACTTAATATCGAAACTTAATATATATATATATATATATATATATGTTTGAAATTATCTTTGTACTAAGTTAAGCCCCCAACATAATTAAAATTCTGGATCGGCCACGGAACATAGTAACTCCAACAAAGAAAAGGAAAAGGAAAAAAAATTGCACTTGTTTTCGAGGGTGAGAAAGATGTACTAGAAACGTCAAAAATGTTGGAAAATTAACGGTATAATTTCCCCTTCCACAGAAATATCCAAACACAACAAAAAATATCCAAATAGAAAGAAAATTGTAAAAGAACTAGAATAACGAAACAACAAATTATATTGGTTTACCACTATGGGCTACGTCTAGTCTTCCACTCAGATGTGGGTAATTCATTAATAATTGTTTAAGGATTGGAATACAAAACTTTCCCCAAAAATATCCCCTAGAGGTCCCAAAAAATTACCCTAACTTCTAAGTATTATAACATACTATACTTAGGTATAGGAATGAAAAACACTCACTAAACCCACGGGATATAGAATCCTTTTCAACACTACCCACAACCAGTCAAGTCTCTTTTATTTAGATTCTGTACAAATGAAACCTTAACATAAGGCTCTATTTATTAGATGCCAAATATCCTAATTCTTATTGGAAAACAATATTGTAATCTTTATAAGACGATAATATCCTACCCTTTAAGAATTGGTAATAGTGTTGAAAATCTTTTTCTTCATAGGACATGAGTTTTCTATTTTGGCTCCATAATCCTAACAATCTCCCACTTGGAGACAAAACATCGATCTTGCCTCCCACTGCATCAAAAGTGTCTTACACCATCTTGACGCCCTCTATCAAGGCACAGTTCTGACTGCTCTATCAATGAACTGATCCACACTGCTCGCCTCGACCCAAGCTTTGTCTGTGATTGTCTCAAGATTGAGCAATCCTACATGGTATTGGCTCCCAGACGCTAGAGACACAACCACGTGCTCCCACTCGATCTAAGTGGTCCCCGTTGCTTCCTTTCTCGATCAAACCCAACGAACCTCTGAAGGAAAATTTCCTTGATGACTTGGCACTCCCACCCAAGTCTGTTGCCTTTCTAGAGACATTACCCTTGACTTCAATACCCATTGTAATCTTTAACCTTGATGCACTCTCTCGCCTATGTGACCTCATCAGCTCGTTATTTCGTCTGATAACTGGGACTTGAAACCGACAACCTGTTGGACAACTCTCTGAGTTGTTCCCCTTACCCTTTCCTCTACTTCCCAGATATTATACTTGAACTGGTGGCAGATTCTTCTAATCTGTCCTGGTTGTCAATGCTATTGATTCTTTCAAGTCTCGTCCTAAACCATGTGCAGCTACTCTGTGCATCATTTGTCTATCAGATTCCCTGGCAACCTCAAACTTAGACACATAAATAGAAGATCACTTGTGGCCTGTTGTCACCATCCTAGATTCCCTCTTGAGCTTCCAACAACCCTTAACAAACTCACTACTGTAGCCATCGTCGTCTAGTTTTCCTATGGATAACAAATTAAATATGAAGCTAGGAATATTTCTGACCCCTTGTAGCACCAACTCGGCCCCTTCACTTGTCTTCAAACAAACATCTCCAATTCCTCTCACCTTGGAGATACTTTAATTCTTCATCTTCACTGAGCCATAATCACCTGCAATAAAATATGAGAACCAACGTTTGTCTGAAGCAAGATCTGTTGATGCTGCAGTGTTCACTACCCACTGGTCTATAGATATATTCCTCTGAACACAAGCCAGAAACTCTTTAATCTGTTCATCTTCTGTTACAACGTTTGTAAAATTGTTCCCCTTCTCAAAATCTTCTTTGAACTTTCTACAAAAACGTTTCACGTGTCCCTTCTTATGGCAGTAATAATACTCCACTACCCCTACTATATCTCTACTGCTGCTTCCTATTGTAATTCATCTTTGTCTTTCCTTTGTTCTGGTGTACCAAAGCTGATTCAACCTCGTTCTCTGCCCCTGAAGTAGATGCACACATTTTCTCTAATTTTCTTCGGGCTTCCTCAGATAAGGCACATCACAAATAGCTGAAAATTTCAAGCTATTGTCCCCTAGCGAATTCGACACCGCGGTCTTCATCGTCTCCCAACTGTCAGGCAAAGATGTCAACAGCCTTATAGCCTTCACCTCCTCATCAATCTTGACACACATCCCTTCTAATTTGTTCAAGATATCGGTGAGCTCATTAATACGAGAATTCACCTAGGTTTCCTCCTCCATGTAGATATTAAAATACTTCTGAAGTACTTTTGTATTGACAGAAGGTTTTTCATACTTGTCTCGCAAGTCCTTTAATAACTCTTTTCCAATCGTCTCTTTCACCACGAGACTGCAAACATTCATCGACAAAGACATTCTGATGTTCGCAATTGTCTGCTCATCAGAGTTTTGGCTCCATAATCCCAACAAAAAATGCAAACTAAGATCATGACGACTAAGTCAATCAGAGTTTTTACTACCAATCTTATCAGATTTACTTTCTTTCCTTTTCTTTTTCTCCCCCATGAACTCCCATATAAAGGACTTATTTTCTATTGCATCCAAAGGAAATGAAAGCAAACAAGCTTCTGGAATCCATGTCTCAAACAAATAAAACTGATCTGCATAACAGTAAAAAGTTACAGAACTTGGCATATGCACGAGAGTCAGTACAAATACGTAATTTATCATTTATCTGTTGATATATATGGAATTAATTGGGTAGTTCCGAACTACGTTATTTGTAAGTTAAAATACTCTTTTGGTTCAGTACTTTCAATTATTTTTAGTCCCTGTATTTTGAAAATGTTCATTTGAGTCTCTGGCTTTGACGTGATATGGTAAATTTAATTCTTAATTTCCAAACAAGCGGCTAAATTAAATCCTTAAAAATCAGGTGGGACGATCGTCTCCTTGTTTTTTCGTTTCTTCTTGCGGCATCGGATTATGGTTTCTTCATGGCTGGGTTGCCTTCAGAGTTCGCGTGGGGTTTTCAGAAGTACCATTCAAATGGCTCAAGTTAAATCTCCATACTACAAACCAGAAACAGAGCCAGAAAAAATACCTCTGAAAAACTAATCTCAAATCGAGGCTAAATTCCTTGCCAGATGGTATCGAAGTTCGACTTATCAAAGTTGAAGGTCGTTGTATTATCAAACATAGCGCAACTTGTTCCACAACGATAAATCGTCGAACATATTGCGAGCGTGAGTAGAATCGCAATGAATTCGGTAAGAGTCTTCATGTGGATGACTGATCCTCACACATCAGAAACATAATTATAGGTAATGAGGAGAAAAAATCTGAAAGTTTAAGGTGGAGAAGAAAGAGGAGGTTACTCAGAAAGAAGTACCTTAGGGATTTAATCTAACCCTTAGCTTATTTGACGAATAAAATTATACTTAATGTGTACTCACGCTGACAAAAATGCAATCTTTTACTCTATTTAACAGTAGCTTAACAGTCTGAACTAAAATGAACCCTCCTTAAAAGGAGTATTTTAATATATCATTTATTAGCTTATATAGATGAAATTTTATACTCTTATGATTTAGCTTGAGTATATATGTTTGTCTATCTCGTGTTTTCTATTTGCGACTTCTTTGCTAAATCCACTATTTTTTTTTCCTTGAAATTTCTCAAAGCATTACGCTCCCACTTTTAGGGAAACAACTTTTTTGTCTTGTTAGACGAGCATGTAGTAATTGTCTAGTTGTGAAAAAAATTATGAATTATGTTATACCACAATACCATACTCTCTTTGTTAATATAATGATTCTGTTTATAAACTCACTTTATTTTTAATACAATGCTAACATTTCTTAATATTTATGAACTCACTTTATTTTTAATACAATGCTAACATGGTAAACTGTAAATGAAAAAAGTACCCATACTCCCGTAGTATCAGAAATTTTCCCACCGATTGTTATCATTGTAAACGTACACCGATAGTTGTCACTTGTAACGTACTAAAGTCGTAGTTTATGTTTCCCATTTCCAATTATCTTATGATTATGAGTATCGAGCAAACTCACTATACAAACTTGCTCCATAAACTAAGAATCTTCAAGCAAATACACCATTTTAGTATACCTTTACACAAAATTTTTCACCAAAACTTCCCCCAAATTCACCTAATTGGAACTATTTAATAACATATAAAGTGAATGGTAATTTCCATTTATTATCACTATCAATGCAACAAAAATGGTGAATATATTAGAATTGATATTATCGAATACTAGAGAAACTAACAAAGGTACATGAACCAACTTATGAAAAATTTAAAATTGCATCAACAATGGTTACACTGAGGAAGCAGAGACTGTTGTTGAAGCCCGAAGTACTTGCTGCAGCATCCGTGCTGCAAGACGCTGAGTAATCCCGGTGAAAATGCGGCCGCCAAGACTGCGAGCCTCAGGCTGTTGAAGCACCTGTTTGTGCAAGATATAAAACGAGCTAAGAGGCGCAGACCCTTCAAATTAGATAACGTATTTGTGTCCAACATATGGACACTACGACACTTATTAGACATGTTTCAATCACTTGTTAGTCCAATATAAGAGTGTCATAAACTAGTGGTACATATTTCTGACACTTGTTAAGCATATCCAAACACTTGTTAAGCATGATAAATAGGCATATATAGTAATATAGGATAAAATAATAAAATTTGAGATCAAATACATCAAACTCATTTCTTTAGGCATATAAATTTGACTCTAAATTTTCTTCACGATATATATTTTAAAAATAAAATGGACCGAAATACATCAAACTCATTTCTTTAAGAAAGTATGCCAATTCGTACCTGCAATACGGGTTGCAAAAGAGTAGGATCAAAATTTTCAGAAGATTGGAGAAGTGTCCATATCCTCAGTACCTGATCCCGTAGCTCTACCATGCTTTCTTGTTCTGCATTGCTTATCCCAAGAGTTCGAGAACTATCGTCTCTAAATATTAGAAGTCTCATAAAATCAGGGATAGAATTATATGTATCATTGACCGTCCCTAAAACAAAAGCTTCGGTCACACGAATAGCTTCCTTAATAGCTAAAACTCGGAGACCCTCGCCATCAGGACCCAACAAAAGCTTCAGCACAGGCTGTAGGGCATCTTTTACAGAGAAGTCTCTATCTTTTCTTCCCTGAAGCAACAGGTTTTCAAGTCTACTCCACCTGTAATGGGCAGACGACAAGACAAAAACGTGTTTCAGGTGAGCATTCAATAGGATAAATACATTATTGCTGTTCTATTGGGAAAAAACATCGGGTGTTGTATAGATTGTGAAAGAAAATGAGGTATAAATTGTTAACTGGCACATGCCTAAACTTCCCATCCTTAAAAAGCAACTCGATAAGAGCGTCTCTCAGATAAGGATTTGGATCTGTCAGAAGCCTTTTAGCAAAATATGGATATGAAGCAGCCAGAACTTTGAAATTTGGATCTGCATACAGTGCTAAGCCTTCCAGTACGGTAAGCGATCTCAAAATTAATGCATAGTATGCCGGGACTGAAAAAAATATATATAAATTTAGAAATAATGTGGAAAAATATATACCACCTACAGCTTCCCATTGAAAACAATAAACTATCGACGATTGAGTCTATTCTTCTAAGAGCGAAAAAGAAAAAAGAATTTTCTACATGAACAAGTCTATTTTCTGCTTTACTAAGTAATATACATCTAATAATTGTTAAAAAGAAACGTTGGCCTAGTAGCAATTTCTATTTTCTGCTTTACTAAGTAATATACATCTAATAATTGTTAAAAAGAAACGTTGACCTAGTCGCGCTTTAATTAATCTAAAAAACCCAAAGAACGTTTCCTAATTAAGCTACAAGGTTTTAGAACATTAAAATTTGAAGGGAGGTGGACCAACTCACCATTGAATGGATATTGATAAAATACTGCACCCAAACCATCTACTATTGTTTTGAAGTTTAGTTCACTCACAGTTGCATTAAGTGTGTCGTCAAAGAAATTCCTAAGTACGGGCACAATTGGAGAAACATCAGTATCAGGTGACAAGAAGTCTAATGCATAATAATCACGAGCCATAGCTTCATAATCCCGATTCACCATGTGAACAACATGTCCAATTATTGCACATCTTGCTTCTTCAGGAGTCTCACTCATCATTCCAAAATCTAGGAAGGCAAGCTTTCCCTCTGATGTCGCTAGCAGATTACCGGGATGAGGATCTGCATGAAAATATCCATACTCAAGTAACTGTCTGAGGCTGCACTGTATGCCAGTATTTACCAGATCCAAAACCTTCAGCCCTTGACTCTCAATAGCTTCCTGCTCGTTTAATTTCACACCATCAACCCACTCCATTGTCAAGACTTTACCACTTGTATAATCCCAGAATATGTCTGGGACAAGGACATCTTCCTTGTCAGCATATAATTTTTTAAACTTCCTAGCATTCTGTCCTTCCTGCATGGGTCCATAAAATTAAAATTTAGAGCCCCAAAAGATATCTACATATTTGTGATGAAACTTTGGGAATAGAAAGAGGGAATAATAAGGAAACCTAACCTGTACATAGTTAAGCTCTTGATAAACTCTGCGTGCAAATTCATCTATAAGGGCAACGACATCACTCGAGATGAAGTCAACATATTTATTTATGAGAAATCCTAAGCTCCTTATCAGGTAGAAATCAAGTCCAATAGCTTCTTCGATGTTAGGGCGCTGCACCTTTACAGCAACCACTTGACCAGATCGCTTGAGTTTGCCTTTGTAAACTTGACCCAAGCTTGCAGCTGCAATGGGTGATGGGGATAATGATGAGAAAATGGAATCAAGCGACAGTGCCAGCTCCTTCTCAATGCACAGAAATGCTTCTGCATCTGGGAAGGTTGGTAGGTCATCCTGTTCAGATACAGAAGCAGTTAACGCCAAAGGCGATATAACCATCTAAGCTCCATATATAGTTAAATTTTACCTACAAAAATACAGTGAGTTTAAGGCCTTATCAAGAATGGGATTGAACCACTTTGGGAATGGGATTGAACCACTTTGGGAGCTTTTAGAAAACAATCACTTGAAGTTGGGAGACAGATTTTCAGGGATGTCAAAAGCAAACTTGGAAGAGGTGATGCTAATAGACTAGTTATAGAACTAACACAAGGCAACCCAGAAAATCAAATTTTAAAATAACATCTTAGGCTAAGTTCCTAGAATGACAATTCACAACTTTTCCTAAATAGAGTTTCCATAATAAAATGATCAAAGGGTTGCCCCAAGGGCAGTTCAGTTGACAAGGTTCGGGGTCTCTTAGTCATACTTTAACCTTCGGGCCTTGGGAGAGCACGGGTGCCCAGGGGAGCAAAACTCCAACTCCCACTTATTGAAAATAATAATGAAATAAAATAAAATTATCAAGGGTCATGGCGAGGACATCTATTATTCTTGACAATAAGAATCGTAAGTTAGAAAGTTAGAACTAACTAAATTTGACTATACCATGTTAATTCTTTAATATGCTATTTCTTTCCATCTCTGTACTCAGAAATTGAACAAGTCGTATTATACACTCAAATGGAAGCAAGGGGAGAGGAAATGGGGATAAGGACAACACACTTGAAGTTGAGAAAGCTCCTCAAGGTACTCGGGGGGGCAGATGTCTGGCCTGGTGGACAATCCCTGCCCTAATTTCACGAAAGTAGGGCCCAATCGAGTAAAAATCCCTCGCAATTCAGAAGCTCGCCGGCTTTTATTCTCATCAAACGCCCCACTGTTCTTGTCCAACCACAATTTGATGCCAAACGAACCAAGCGCAACCAAAATCCGCAGAGCCCTCCGCAGAACCTGTAAATCATCGTCGAGGACCTAAGCTCAAAATTAGGTCAACCAATCCACAGAATCCGCATAGAAGTTAGAACAAAACCTCGA